CTCCGTTCAAGACATACTATAAACCTACGGAAAAAGAAAAAAGATTTACACTTTTTTTCTTTTTTGTATAAAATTCTTCCTTTCATGGGTTTGTTCTTGGTATTATGATACTATTTACCAAGAACGAGTTATGATCCTTGTACGAAGATTCAAAGTAAAATGATGGGATTCATTTAAAATTCCTTCCTCTCTATCAAAAGATTCGGTAGAACAATGGCTTACAAAACAAAGTCTTATGAAGGCCGGTTCTACCACTTCAAGTTTCTTAGCTTAAAAAGCCTTTGTAAGCGTTAGGTTAGCGACGACAAAATCCAAAGAAGAATATTTTGCTATCATGTCCGAAATGGTGCAAGATAGATCAAATTCCTCCCAAACGGAAGACTTTGAGTCGGAACTCACAATAAATTTGGGTGATGATGATGAAGATGACTCGCTTTGGAATCTTTCCTCCAGTTCACCACTTGTGAACTCCAAGACGAAATTGCACCTTCTAGGCAATTTTTCATTTCAAGACAAAACAACTTTCGGCATATCACTTGTTCATCCATGTGAATGCCAAGACAAAACAACTTTCGACGTCTCACTCGTTCATTACTATTCACTCACGTGAGATACTCGTTCATCACTCGTTCACTATTCAAGACGACTTTCTTCTCCTATAAAAGGAAGCTAATTTCTCATTTGTAGGGGTGCAAAAAAATTTTAAGACATTTTTTTAAGAGCATTTTTTTGTCCGTAATTTTGTTCTCTCAAATACTCTAAGATTGTACCACTATCTTCAAAACTCCAAAAGCAAATTACTCTTGCTTATCCAAAACTATAAGTTATTTTATCAATAAATAAAATTTTTTACTTTCATTTATGTCTTTTATATCTTCATATTAAGGTATATCGACTGGAAACCACAACATAGCTCCTTGACGATACATAGTATTACCGGAGCTTAACCGTGGTAAAACAACGCCATGTACCAATCTGAAAATTTAGCCACGTACCGATCCGAAAATTTAGTGGTCGGCTTTGCCGCCCATTTTTATTTCCTGTTTCAGATGATCGGCTCTACCACCTAATTTTATATATATATATATATATATATATATATATATATATATATATATATATAGAGAGAGAGAGAGAGAGAGAGAGAGAGAGAGAGAGAGAGAGAGAGAGATAGTTTGGCTCAATTTTTTTTTAAAAATAATAATATGTTCAAAAAATTCACAAGTTTTATTTTTTTAATATGTATTTATTCAGAATTTATCGAACTAATTTTGTTATAGTTTTTATTTTAATCTATTGACTTTAGTATATTTCTACAATTTAAGAGGTTTTTTTTTTCTTTTTATTCTATATACTCGAATCGTTATATATATATAGTACTTTTAGAAATTAACTATATATAGATTCGATTTATATTAACCATCAAAAATAAAACTTTCTACTCGTATTATACTATATAAATCGTTAACTCTATGTATGTAACGGTTGTCTATCGACGATATAGCGGGGGTATCCAACTAGTTCTTTCTAGACCGATCGAAACTTGAAAGGAATAATTAAGGTTTAACATATGAAGACACAAAATTAAATAAATAGTGAGTTTTACGTAAATATAATTCAAATAAAGATAGTTTAGATTTTAAAATAGAAAAATTAGAAAATCAATATCTTTTTGCGGAATATTTTGACGGGAGTACAAAGGAGTTCTGTCCATTGGAAATTTCCTTCGGATTTTTTTTTTAAATAATAAGTAGATATTAAGATATTAAAAACAAATTCGACAGAAATTTTTGTTAGAAATATAAATTAAACCTACAAACATTAAAATTATCAAAAAAATTTTAGTTTGCATACACATACAAAATATATTCATAAAATACTAAAACTCAAAATTCATAAGCAAAAATGCTCAGCCCTAAAGATGGGTGCTTTCAACAGAAAAACAGAGTAGTTTGCCTGGGATATTGTTGGAGCAACTTTATGGCCAGGGGGCCAGGGGAGCCCCAAAATTTGACAAAGTTTTCATATTGGTCCAAAATCTTTCAAAATGTTTTCAATCTACCTTCGAAGCAAAGGCTTATTTTGGACAATATCTACATTTTTCACTCCTAAAATTTAATTTATAGTCTATATCCATTGTTATTTTATTTATTTTCATATGTATCCTAATACATTTCATTTTGACACCCGCACCCCTAAAATTCTATTTTCCTCCCAGATTTGTAGCATCTACTTTTTTCTCACATATATACATATGTAATTTATAAGGGATTGGTTTAGTGATGAATGAAATATATCTTATTTTTTAACTTCCTGAGTTCAAATTTTAAGATGAGCAATCAGATCGATGCAAAGGTATGTTATAAAAATCATCTTGAAAAAAAACTTAACATAAACTCATTTGAAAATACATTTTGCCATCAAACCAAATATATATAATATTTTTTAAAACACAACTCCTAAATATCAAAATGCAACTTTTAACGATTCTATTTTTAATTCATAACGTAATACAACTCAACAATATAGTAGCAAATCACAATAACCATGTAAAACACAGCACAATAATGTCAAACAGGCTTAAGATTTATTTTCTCTGGTTTAGATTTTCTATTTCTATTTCATTCTTGAGCCATCCTTGTTATTGTTCCCCTCAAAGAAATTCAATAATTGAACTTTTGGGTTGGGCCGGCAAACAAACAGAGGTTGGAGGAAGATATAGACGGGCATATGCATATCCCACGCTTACACCATCAGCAAGCCTATCTAAATATCACTCATTGCTTGGTGATAATTCTAAACCTAATTGAATTCTACAAGCCCAGTCCATAAATAATCTCAATGATTTCTGAAAATGTATTGGTTCCAATAAAAACATTTTTTCATAATAAATTAATATTAAATTAAGCATAATTAACACTGATCAAGCGATTAAATAATTAATTTTTAAAACAAAAGAGACTAATTGATTTATTTCTTAAAACTAAAGGGACTAGTTTATAATTTACTCGTACTGCTGTCTGTGGGCTGTGCCTGTGTGGTGTTTGTGTGCTGGGGGCGTTGAACGCGGCAATAGAGTTGGGTGATCTTTAAACATCTTGAGTTTACTAAACTGTCCCGTTCTTCATGATATTTATCTTGGATTTGAAGTCGATATAGTAATTTGTGACCAAATTCACTTTAACTTAAGTTTTTAATTACACATATAATTAATTATTTTAATTTTTTTTAATGCATTGGATCAATGTAGATGATACATATTTAAAATTAAAAAAAATAAATTAAAATGATTCGAAAATATATTATTTTGTTAACTAGAGATTGAATGTGATTTAATGACAATTAAAAAGGATAAGCTTTTGCTTTATTCCTTTGCATTTAATTGAAATAGACATACATTAAATCTAACAAGTTGGTGTTCATCACTCTAAGACTATATCTTATTAGTTTTCATCCCACAAAAACACATAATTGTTGATTCTTCATAATTCTATTATAATCCCAAATCACTAAGCACAAGTATTGAAAGTTTTGATGCATTTGAACATCTAGACAAGGAAGAGGATATGACAACGTGGTCATGTCCTCCTGGAGATGAAAAACATGAACAATGTTGAAATTAGGAATTTCAAATTTTAGGATTTTAAATTTTGCTTCAAACGAGAGAACGGGTGTGTTGATAAGCTTGATTTGAGAGTTTGGGTTAGTGCGATTTTTGTGGTTTACAGATTTAGGGATTTTTAGATTTTAAAATTTAGAGATTATGAATTTTTAGTTTGAGAAAATGAGAGAATGAGTTTGACAAAGAATTAAGGGGCAACAACGAGGAAGAAAAAAGAAAAAAAGTTAGTTGGGCTGGTATAATAGGGGAGGGGGTTGTTTGGTATTTTCTATTCATTTTTAAAAACTAAATATTATTTTAATAATAAAAAAATTTTTAATTTTAGGTTTTTTTTTTGACAAAATATTGTAACATTTAGGACTCATATTGCCATATGTCTATTTTTAATTAGTTACTATTAATTTTAATGTATCATGTAGAAAGAACAGTTAATAAAAAAATATGAATTAACAAATATACAAATATACAAGAATAGAGAATTTGAATTAAGATAAAAGATTGAAGAAAGTCTCACTTAAAAAAATTCGAACAGTATAAAAATAAATGTAGGGCAAACCTCTTCAATAATCAGATAGATAAATTCCGCTTATCATTTTAAATATACCGATCTTTTTAGTAGAAAATAGGATTATGTAAGTTATATACGAAGAGTATATTACAAGTAAGCTAATTAGTTAAAACTCCTAAGCTTTCGGTCAAAATCAAGAAAGAAAGTCTTTGACCAATTAACATTACAAGTACCAAATTCAAAATTCTAGAACAAATTACGATTTCTACAATTCTCATTATTGTAATGATTATGCCCCTTGTTTTGACTTAAGGGCCAAACTTACGCGGAGTTACTCAAAAAATATATATATATATATATAACAAAGTTATGATGTGTACGCGCACATAGATGTGTATACTAACTACTGAATAGAAAGGTAAGGTAATTTATGTCCTCAATTTTTATTTTGGCATTGTCAAAATTTATTTTAGATTTTTCAAAAAATAAAACAGACTAATTCAATTGTAAATAATCAATTTTTTTTTATATATAAAATCACTCATAGTTGGAAAATCAGACATATTAATTTCATAATTATTTAAGTGTATTCAATTACAAACAATTCAAAACAATCTGTAAGAGATTAGAAAAAAAAATCACAAACCAGTTGAATAATACGGTTATAAGCCTCAAGAAAACTAATAAAAAGGAAAATACAAAAAACAAATATAACCCTATAAATCACCGTCTCACGCAAATCCAACTTACCGACTGCACATTTCTTGAGCTTCACCAACCTGTTCCGGCTGACATGAAGTGAGAACATATTTTTTTACCTGATAGAAACCGATTCGTGCAAATCTGTTAAGACAAACAAATCAAGTGATGCTATGTTTGGAAAACTAAGGATGACAATAACACCTCACTGAGAGCTTGGGTGGAGAGAGTGACCACATTTTTTAAGCAACAAACATAGCCTGACCCTCTCACGTAGGGGTCCAACGATCTTTCTAGGGGAAGCATTTGGCCCCTTGACAGCAGAGCATTTGCAACTCCACCATCACTCTTAACTATTAAGAGACCATCAGACAATAACTTCAGTGACAGTCCATAGGCCACACCACTTGGCCCTCCTCCAGGAAACATCTCCAACAATTCATACGTACAGAATCCCATTTCAAATATTCTCCCAATCGGACAGTATGACGCATTACCCTACAATCTCATTCCCCTCCATAGCATTCCCAACTCTCATTTTTCTTGAGCACTTATCCATATCCATAACAAAACAGTAAATACGAGAAAGAATAATAATAATATTTACGTTATTTATATCATCGAATTTACTATGATGTACCGATGAATCTTGAATTCGAATTTAATAAATTCAATATTTCATTTAATTGATTTGTTATTGCAATTGCTTCACTAAAACTACTTTTCTAATACACAATATATCTTCATATTTGCTATAACGTGTAGATATCAGTTGAATCATTATATTTGAATTTCAAATATTCTTTTTTTGAATTTACTATAATCTAACTACCATTCGTATAGTATTTTACGTATACCAGCATTTTTTACTAAATCCTCTGATCTCAATTCCTACCCCTCCACCCGTATTAAAATTTGCGCCGATTTATATGTCAAATAAATAATGGAAAACCTGTAACGAAAAAGAAAGAAAGAAATAAGGCGAATAGGGTAAAAAGTGGTGTATTAGCAACAAAAACCGTAAAAAATAAACGGAGAATTGCCAACATTGTCTGATTGGAATGTAAAAATCAAATCAGGATGGGTATTAGGGTAAAAGGATCTAATCGAAGCTCGTCATTTTGAGCCGTCTAGTCGGAGAATCTAACGACGAGGGAGAACACGGCGCTGATGCTGAGAACAATGATGGTGGAGATGGAGTCGGAGTCGGAGATGGAGACGGAGAAGATAAAGAGGAGGATGATGATGAAATAGAGGGAGGCGATGACGATAAAGATAGATCAAAACTTTCTTGCAACTTTCTCTTGTTGATATTGCAGTTGCTTCTCTCCTGGTTTGGAATTGATCTGACGTCTCTGCTTCCCATGTAATCTCTTATACGTTTAACGTCTGATAATTTCACTGGCTTCACTATGAAATCCTCAGCTCCTTCCTCCAAACATCTGTTTTCCGATTGATTCTAAATTTTAGTTTGAAAAATAAAAACCAGTACTGAAAAATTGATTGAATAATAATACCATACCGATCGATTCGAGCTATCACGTTCTCTGATGACATAATCACAACTGGCACTTCTCTGAAAGTAGATGATTCCTGCTCAATACACAAAATATATCAACAATTTTGCTTTATTAAATTAAAAATAAGAGATCTTATTAGTGAATAACTAACCAACCTTGATTTTCTTGAGCAACTCATATCCTGTCATTCCAGGCATACAGTAATCAGTGATGATTAGATCCACCTTCAACCCCTGAGAAATAAATCAATTCAGCAATGCAAGTATTCTGCTATTAGTGGGAAAACAAATCGGAATTATTGATATTATATGTTATCATTACTTCACTCACATCAAAACCAACAGAGGAGGAGGGGCTGCTCTCGTCTTCTTCGTCTAATAATCCAAGCAATTTTAGAGCTCTCCATCCACTGTCCACTGCTGTCACTACAAACAAATTCCAATCCGAAACTTCAGCTTCAAATTAATAGCAATATTTACTCCTCGTGATCAAATCCAAAAGACAGGCAAACCTACCTTTACATGAAGAAATTTTGAGCAAACGCTCGATGACTTTGCGGTCAACAACACTGTCATCTACAGCTAGTACATGAACTTCCTCATCTTCATCATCTGAATTGGAATGGTGCGAGAGATCGAAGCAGTCCATCTTCTCCGACATCCAGCGATTTGAAACGATGCTGTTAGAGCCCATATCCAATTTATAATTAAGAGACTTAAAAAACTGTCAATTTCCCTTGGGAGAAGCCGAGGAGGCAGAAACAGGATTCTATGCCTCTTGTGCCCTCTGCTTTTACATGCCTGCCCTATCTATGATATACTAGCCCAAGGGACCAACAATTTCTTTTTTAATTAATAATTGCGTGTTAATTAATACTAATATTTCTTACGTACCCATTTTAAGGATGTATTTTTGTACTTCTAGATGATATATTTAAGAAAATTTATTAAATCTTTTTAGTGTTAAAATTTAGAAAATCAAGGAAAAAAGTAAATCCCTTCAACCACCCGATCTCTCTCTTGAAATTACGGTACCAACAATGCTACTGTATATGTTATGTTTTTTTCTTTTTAAAGATAAAGGCATCCTCATTCGGTTTTCTAGGGGAAAAAAAAAGAAAAAAGAAAAAGACGATTTGGTATTTTGATCAAAGATCAATTCCTCTCAGCGTTAAGTATATTATATATATATTCTCAAACTAGATTTTATGTATAAATGCTATTTCTTTTCTTTCAAATTAAACCCCCCAACAAATCATCTGTGAAATTTTTTTCAATATATCGAGAATTGTGTTTTCTTCTCGAGAAAAATTAAACTATTCTTAGAATAAGTATCAATAATTATTTTATAAAATTGATAAATACAATAGATTTATTTTGAACAAGTATGCATATACAAATAAAAGTAAAAACTACATAATAATCCATAAAAATTGATAAAAATATATTTTATTTTTATTTTTAGTATGCTTCTCTCATGTATAATATTGACAATTACATTTCGTACTCTAAAATTTCTCCTCGTTCATCTAGAATAAAGATATGTAATAATTAAAAATATTTTTATTACTTTGTGTATTACAAATATAATTTTATCTCTCATAATTATATATGATTTTTTCTTCTAAATATAACTATCAGTGTATTTGTCATTAAAAAAATCTTTCATTTTTATTATTTATGTATGTCAAAAAAATTTAATTAAAGTATATTTTATAAAAACAATTTAAATATAATTCTAAAAATATTGTATGTTAAAAAATATGTATAACATAATAATTAATAACCTTTTAATCTATCTAAAAAATAAAAAAGACAACGTTTTTGAAATGGAGACGATAACCATCACTTGTTGGCTGTTTTAAAATTTCTCTTCTCGGTTTACATAAATACGATATTTTTAAGTAATTTTTTATAAAAAAATCTTATTTTTATATAAAAGAAAAGATTAAAAGAATATAATTTTAATATACCTAATAACTTTTCCATCACTTACTGTGAAAAACGAAGAAAGATTATGTATGCTATGGATGTTAAATGTATAATTGTAAACGTCTTGTCTACCACTCTCTTTCCTTTGGTTGTCACTTTGTTTTTTCTTCTCTCTCTAAATCAAATCTTTACTTTCTCTTTCTAAGAAATCTTGTGATCTGTCCTTTTATGCGGATAAGTATATATATTTTTTATCCTTTTTAATTCCCTCCCTCCCTCCCTCCTCAAACAGCGCTCAGATTCTGAAATCCGCTTTGGTGAGATCTCCAAATCAACATGAAAGCTAAATTCTCTATCTCGTGGTGATATAATCGTATCGCGAAATATTGGTCAAGCGTAGAGATGCCTAGGCGTGAATGAATGGGTCGGGATCGAGGAGGGTCTATAGAGACTAGAGAGCGTGGGAGGAGTTGACTGGCGGGGTCAATGGAGGAGAGCGCCGTCTATTCCGTATGGGGAAATGACCGACACGGAACCCTAACCACCGCCACTAATAGCTGGGAAAGCCTCTCCTCAAACCATTAAACGGTCCAAAATCAAGTGACTAGCAAAACTAGGCGGTGAAATTTTTAATGTGTTTTTTGTAAAGGTTACTTTACCACTGCTCTTTTGTGATCAGTGCTGAGCCTATTGCTTTGACTAAAATAGTTAACATATGCTACTTTTTCCTATATTTATTTATATAATAAATATAAATATAAGAAAAAACTGTTCTTTTAGGTGTTTTTACCCCCTTAATTTCAGAAATTCTTTTATTGAATTCAAACAAGGTTTTTTGAATAATCTGTCAACGTTGAATCCAGGATAATGTTAAAAAAAACTCTTTTTTTATTCATATTACAATTTTTCAAAAAAAATTGATAAGCATTTGTTAGTTGATAAATTAATGAGTTAAGTTATAAAAAAAAAAGCATAAAGTTGAATTATTTGGAATTTGAATTCTCTTTTATTAATTTAAAACACAATGTAAATTTTTTAAAAAATTTATTTCATAATTAAAGATGTTTATTTTAACTTTCTTAATTTAGTTTTTAAAATTATTATCTGAGAGAACATATTAATACGTCATGTAGATATAATTTTATTGTTGCACAAATTATCCTAAAAATATTATTTAAAAAAACAAAAAACAAAAAACAATGGGGAACGAAGCATGTCTGGAAGCGAAATGATTTTACGGTTGCAAAACACGATGAATTTAATTTGCCAGCAGCAGACGCGACAAGAGTGAGAAGGAGGAGATTTGGGAGTCCCGAAGAGATCTAATGGTGGGACCAAAATACCCTCTTTATCTTGGACTTTTCCTACGTTTTCAAATGTTTCAGACACTGCCAGTGCGCAATCAAATCTTGAAGATCGCTTGAATTATCTTTCCAATGAAGATTGATTGATTTTTTCTTTTTCATTTTTTCTTCTTCGTATTCATATCACCATATCGTTTCTACACTTCTACTAGTATTTTTTTGTTTTGTTAAATGACTTAATTTAACATGGTTTGACTAAAAATAAATAACTCATTTTCTAAGATTGAATTACACATACAAAAGATTTTATTTATTTTTTATGTAATAAAAAAGTGAACTTGAAGTTGTGGTCACATCCGTCCTCGAACAACTGCGGTATTTGTTATCTGAGTGACTTCAGCTACGGTATGATCTCACTTCAAGCTCGCTTTCGATATGAAGATGATAATTTCACAAGGACACCCGATGCCCAATAAATGGATTAATATTTCAGGATGTTTTTATTATTATTATTTTATTTGTTTTAATTATATTTTTTTATTAATTATGTTCACTGATTGTTATTTTGCATCTTAATTTTACCCTCTCGTCCAAATTTCTACATAACGATATCAATTTTCATTCACAGTTGAATAAGATGTTAGCACATAATAATTTTTTTTCAAAAAATAAATCAAGTTTTGAAAAAAACAAAAAAAAAAATCCCAAAAACCTCCTTTTTTTTTTTTCTTTGGCTTTTGCTTTCTCTCATATCCAAACCCAAAAAGAAATTTTTTTATATATAGATAGAAACAAAAAAAAAAATTCAGAAATTTATTATGAAAATTGATTTCAAATTCAAATCCAAAGAAGACTTTTTATGATTTTTTTTTATAACATTGGAAGGAACATAAACAAAAGGCGAGAGAAAAAGATGGCCATTTTAGAATTTTTTTTTTAGAAATTTATTTTTTTCAAAAAAAATACCTAGTGTTAGTTTCTTATACATCCGTATCAAAAATTGAAGTCGTTACCTAAAAATTTGGATAGAGGAACAAAAAAATAAAAACCAAGTGTCAACATCTTATGCGTCCGTCATCGAAATTGACAATATTACCTAAAATTTGGATATAGGGACAAAAATAAGATAGAAAATAACGATAAATTGACAAAATTAATGAAAAATTCGGTAAAAAGACATGATTAAAACAAACGAAATAGTATAGAGACATTCTAAACCATTAACCCCTTAATAAACAGAAAAGAAATAATAAAAATTTGAAGACTTCCTAAGAGTCTTCTTGAAAGCGGCTTTTTGAAGTGGATGTTGATATCGAAATAGATTTTTGATGGATTCTACATCACCTGCTAAATTGTAAATCCCTCGAATCAATTTTTTGAATTAGTAAAATTGCATTAAAACTAACAATCAAATCAAGAGTTATGATCTACTAATTGAGTAATACGTTAGCACACTTGTTATTATTATTATTATTGGCTAGCAATCCTATCTGGTTGGCATCACTAGACAATGCTTAGTGTATTTTTTTTTTTTACTACTAGCTTGCTATGCTTATCGGTTGGCACTACTAGTCGGCACTTAACACACGGTTTGTTTATTTATTTATATATATTTTTACTGTTAGTCACCACTTGTTGTTGGTTGGCACTAATCGCAAGCACTCCACGTGCTCTTCTTTTTTATTGGCCGACCATGTTGATGGTTAGCACTTGTTGGCCGGTGCTTAGCGAGTAAATATTTTTTTTTCTTTTTGATGGCCAGTACTTACCGCTAGCCAACCCTTGTTGCTAGCACTTCAGGCTAGTGCTCGACACCCATTCATTTTTTAGTAGCTATTTTTTTTCTTTTAAAAAAAATAGCTAAGTATATTGACTTGTCAAAACATATTGTGGGTATCATTTATTGTGGTAATTAGATTTATTCAAAGAAAAAAATAAACAAGAAGAACTATAAGTGAAGAAATTGATTGAGAGACATGTAACCTCCCAAATGCCATGTCAAACACCTTGTCACTTGACAATCATTTGTAAAAAAAAGAAAAATAATTGAGTATATTGACCAACATCTCTTTTTAAGATTAGTTAAGAAGTGGCAAGATGGCAATCCTAAAACGAGAAGACACGTCAATAAAGAATTCATGTTTGACAACAATAATAGTCTTCTTATATAGAATTCTCAAGAAAACCACATATGTGGATCAATATCAAAGTTGCTTGTATCTTGGATGCTATTTTTTTTAGCAAATACTTTGATGTCTACGTTGATATAAACAAAACAATATGGAGAGACAATAATTCTTAAGCACTCATTAACTTCTCTCCAAGTTTTCGATCCATTAATTGTTAAAAAGGTGAAAAATTTTCTCGAGCACTTAACTGTTGAAGATGAAATTGAATTTTTCTTTCTTAGATTAAGAATAATTCTCATGTTCATGGTACGGCCAACATACGGCTTGTT